GTATAATTTATTCAAAATAGGAGCACCACCAAATGATTCTTCCTGCAAGGTGAGATATTCCAAATCACAAGTACAGAACTGTACATTTTAATCTTGTAAACTTTATTCTTTGCATTTGAGTTCTTACCATTTATTTTGTTCAATTCCTTCTTTCCTTCTGTAGGAAAAAGTTCCAATGGAAACTGTTTTCATTAATTGCAATTCTACAAAAGTTTCATTGGGTACTTCATTTGTTGAATACTTGATTTCAGATTTCCAATTGATTTTGAACAAAATGTCACCAAAACTATGATGACCATTTGTAACAAAGTTCAATACTATCCTTGGACATAAAGATTTCTAAAATATGACTAACAACAGGCACATACTTCTTTGAAATACGTGGTGCTGAAGTATAGTTGTTTTTTTTCCCCAAGATATATCATTTTTATTTAAAAATTTATACAGTTAATATATCAACCTTTTAAAAATAAATCGATACATTTCATAAAGGAAGGGGAAATTACAGAAAGTCATACAGACACAAATTAATGATGCCAATTATTGACATTTCTGATACCTGTTTTCAAATTTCTAAATTGCCCTTGATCATGGGTATCCAGAGCATAGCAAAGGTTTGAGAGGAGAATAGGAGCAGGAGAGGAAACAGCAAACGAGGGAACTTCTGGCCACATTCACAAAGCTCACGACACCACCATCACAATCCAGAAACACCCCACATGGCCTAGAGTCTTTCTGACATATTGAGGTGATAGTGGGGAGGCAGTAAAGAAACTGCACTGACTGTTCTCTCTGAAACAAAGAAGTAGAAAAATTCCCTCTGAGTCAAGGACCATGTCACTGTCTCTAGTCCGAGAGTCATTACAAAGTCCAATGGCCCAGCTGCAACAGCCCGCCACATCCACCTCCCAGCAGTGCTGACCGGAAGTGAACGACTCAGCTCCCCAGACAAGAAAATATTTAGATCTTGGTGGAGTGGAGTCGACCCCAGGACCATCAGGACCAGCCTGAACACGTCTCAGATCTTCAAACGCAGGGACATGATGAATGACTCTCTCATTATCTAGCGCAGTGTACACGTGGAATTGGTTGAGCCAGCCTAGGAGTCCAGGGATGGGCCACACACTGAGCTGGGGGACTGACTCACCCCTTTTGGACATGTTTGCATAATGCTAGATCAGCTCCATGTCTGGTTTATGGCACAAAGCCTTGAGCTCCTCATATATCTGCCTCAAAAGTTTCTGCTTCAGGTCCATATTGTATTGACTTTCTTTGAGCTGGTGAAAAATCTCTTTGCTTTCCTCTTCTGTCTTCTCTAAATGATGCTTCTCTTCCTGGTAGACTAAGTGAAACACCTTCCAATATTCAATCTGTTTCATCTTCTTCCACGTACTCATGTAGCTATCCCATGTTCTGATTTTGTTGGTTTCTCTGTTCAGATTTCTTTTATTTTCTTGTGTCTTTTCCCACACAGACCTCATTATGTTCAGAAGCTTTTGCCGGTATTCCTCAGCTGTCCCCTGAAGGGAACCAGGTCTGGGAGCGCCTGCTGCTCAGACATACAGCAGAGTAAACAACACACATCCTTGGTGACTTTACAGAAGTTGTTCTTGGTTTATCTGTGTATCTCACATATCTCTTCTGCAGGATTTGGTAAGTCACAGGGTCCTTTCTGTTTGGCAAGAAGTACCAGTTTCCTCAAATTGGTGTTGGTTTTCAGGTTCAGTTGATAGGGTGTTTCCCTGCACACAGGGCAGTGAGGAGGCCGTTGGCCTTCCTCCCAGTAGAGACAGAGACACGGCATGCAGAAGCTGTGCCCACGGCCCAGCATGACCGGGTCTATGAAACACTCCACACACACAGGGAACAGGTGACTTCATTCCAGAGGCTTTTGGAACTCATGTTTCTTTGGGTACCGTTAATGCAATGTTCTACTCTTGTTCAGTAAGTAACTGTTAATTTCAGTTCAAGGATTAAGTGCTTTTTGCCTTGTGGCAGTAACTTTCAAAAGTCTCCACAGCCCAGCCAGCTCCAGACACAACAGCCCAGGGCTCTGGAGAAGAATGAGCTTGGCTCTTTGCTGAATGCTTTATATGTTCTCCAATGACCATGCCCATTTCCTCCCAGTGACAGGGTTACCAAATCTCCTTTCGAAGACAATGGGCTGCTTTTCTGGGCGCCTGATGTCCTCTGCTAGCTATCAGAAGTTGTTTTGTGCAGTTTGCTCAGCGTTCAAATGTTCTTTTGTTAAATTTGTAGGAGAGAAAGTAGTCTCCCCATCCTATTCCTCCACCATCTTAGCTCCTCCCCCTGAGGTATAGTTTTATACTCAATATCAGCTACATCTTCCAAATCTTATAGTCCTGAGGTCTGACTATAAAGATATTAGTTAGTTTTGGTAACAATAGCTTTTATTTCAATTAGTAGAATGTTGATGCTTGTTTTGATGCAAATATGAACTGTGAGTATGCCTCAATTAGCTCCAACTACTCTATAGCTTCTCAACATAGTTAAGATGGTCACTTTTATCACAACACTGTGCTGTGTTTCGCTTAAATTTGTACTTGTATTATTATTGTGAGCTAACAATTTTCTTTCATGTTCAACTTTTAAACTGAATTTCCAGTCTCACTCAAAATGGCTTTACCTTTGATAGAATATACTTCTAAAAGTTTTACCTTGATTTCATGAATGGACTGAAAAAGAAAACATTTTTAGAATTAACAAAAATGATTTAATCACTTGAAGTACCTGACAACACTCAACTGAAACTGGAATTATTTAGCTATTTGCAAAATTCTTCCATCATTGGAGTCAACAAACTTAAAGCTACTGCTTTTGGTCAAAAATGAATGAAATTAATTTAGAGCAATAGTAGTTTATCTCAACAAAAGTTAGGCATTACAGAGTTGCAAGTATATATACTTTCTTCAGCCATATGTGTTAAACCATCATGTTTAGGAAGTCTCCCTAAAGTAACTATTAATTTTAGTAGTAACTACTACTAATCTTGACAGTTTTTCAGCAGATTTGATTCTTCTCCTTTTCATGTGGTCTATAAGCCAACTATGGCTTCCAAAGTGAACAGTAAATGTCAAGGAACATGTTATACAAGTTATACATTCCTTATTAAATTAACTTTTCCAAAAAATGAAAATTTAGTACCTTTTTAAACATAAAATACATACATTTATGTTTTTGAGCTGCTGCCAATTTATTGTAAAAACAATGTACTGTCAAATAATAAAATAGTTATTAGTTTACATCATACAAGCAAATGGGTTCAATTTACTCTTAATCTGCACAGAACTGATCAGCCTTGATTTCTCACATGTCTACTTCATAGACAACGTACCTCTCACTTATTATATTTCCCAGTGAGTTTCTAAACTGCTACCTGGTAGTTTTATGACTCTTGAAGTCTAGACATGGGCCATACAACTGGGTGATAACACCAAACAGCCAGCTGGGGCAGCAGTGTCAAATACTTCTATCACCTGAGACAGGAAGGAGTTTTAACTGTCTCCAGACATTCAGTGTACTTTGTATTAACAATTGTCCTATATTCTGTCCTTGACTGGGGTGTCTGAAAGCACTGGGAAAAGAGAAGAGTTATTGCTGGTTCTCTTTCAGATTTAATAATAATTTAACATGAGAACTTCCCCTACAGTACATGGGTCTCACCTATTATTGGCCTATGTGAGACAAAAATCGAGGCAGAGGCTGGGAGTAGAAAACAGAGCTCTACCAACCCATCCATCCATGCTGGTTTATTCCAATATAATTATAAGTAACCATTCTCTGTTAAAAACAAAAATCTAGGACAAATGTTAAGTCAGATGGGGTTCTGGGATGGCAGACTTACATTGAGGCTGCACTTGGTGACCAGGATGTGTATTTACTTAATCTTTAATGGAGGAGATCTGTCCTTTTTTGCCCTTCCTTCTCCTTCCCTCCTTTTGACTGGAGTGAAGACATAATGGCAACTATCTTGGGCCACAAAGTGGTAAGATAGGAATGGCAGAGCAGTAAGATAAGGGGAGCCTCGGTTCCTGACTTTAGAATCACCGTACCAACCTTGGACTGCCTAGTCCCAGATAATAATAATATGTTTAAAAAAAAAAGAGAGAGGGAGGGAGGGAGGGAGAAAAAAATAAATTATTATCTTGTTTTGGTCACTTTTATTTTATCATCACACCAAATTCTAACTGATAAATAAGGACTACATCTACAGTCTTTCTAGAAAGCAGCTTAACAATATGCATCGAGAATACTAAAACCAAACCCTTTGAACCACTTCTAGGCACTTATCTTAAAGAAGTAATCTGAAATAAAGAAAAACTGATGTGTAAAGATGTTTAATGCAAATCTATTTATGAGAGTAGAAAATTAGAAGCAACCTAAATGTCCCAAAATAAGGAATCTGTTAAATAAGCAATACTACATCAAAATAACTGAATACTGTGCAATCATTAGGAAAGCTTATGAAAAATGTTAATGATATGGGAAAATGCTCATGTCATATATGCAATGGGGGAGAAAGGTAGGATTAAAAAAAGCTTACACATGTTAAGTTTTCACTTATGCTACCCCCAAATCCACACATACAAAGGTATGAATAAACAAATACAGACTGGAAGGAAATACATGAAAACAGTAACCTACAGTAATTATCTCTGGATAGTGAGATGATAGGTAATATTTATGATATCGTCATTATCCTGAGTATTTAACACTACCCTATAATTAACAAATAATTCCATCTGTTACCAGAAAAAAAAAAAACAACTGGAAATTAATTTCAAAACTCTTTCCTAGCATTTACCAGTTTTAGCTGGAGTTGATACTGCCATCATCATCATTAACCTCATCACAATTTTACTAAGCATCCATGTGTGTGGAGTTGGGGCAGCAGGGTGTCCAGACCTCTGTTTCTCCCGCAGTCAACCAAGAGCCACCTAAAGGCAGTTCAGATAAGAACAAACCCTGCCCAGTTTTACCTTGGTATTCTGTAGCAGAGCGAGTCCATTGCAGGCATTTGCTAGAAGAAAGTCTCCACTCAGGATAGCTATTTTATTTCCAAATTGCATATCTTTCAGTGGCCCGTCAGAAGACTGCAATTCATTTAAATTTACTATCCCACGATGTACAAGGAGAGCAGTATGGATAAGTTCTGTGATCTCTGCCAAACTTCTTTGACTAAAACACAAAGGTAAGATTTGTCTGAGTGTAAAGAATACCATCTTATCAGTATTGTCAGATTTTAGATTTCAACAACAAAATATTTCATAGATTAGTGTCTCTTTTTTCAGGTTATTCCTTTTTAATGAAGTTTTTTTCTATTGAGATATAATGGACACATGACATTATATTAGTTTCAGGTGTACAATATAATGATTCACTATTTGTACACACAGCTGACTCTTGAACAGCACAGAACCATGTGGGTCCTTTTATAAGCATTTTTTCAATAAACACAGTAGTACACAATCTGAGGTTGGCTGAATCTGCAGATGTGGAACCACGGATACAGAAGACAGACTGTGGGCTGTGGACATTCATGGATTTTGATATCTGAAGTGAGTCTGGGAACCAATCTCCTGTGGGCACCAAGGGAGGACTGTATTGTGAAATGATTACCACAGTAAGCCTAATTAAATCTGTCACCATACATAGTCACAATTTTTTTCCCTGTGATGAGAGCTTTTAAGATCTACTCTTTTAGCAACTTTCAAACACACAACACAGTATTATTAACCACAGTCACCATTTACACACTATATCCCCAGTACATTATATCTTCATGTTTTGTTTTGTTTTTTTCCTTCTTGGTAATATGTAACTAGAAGCTTGTAACTTTTGACCACCTCCATCCATTTTTTTCCTCCCTCCCTTGGCCCATCCCAACCTTCCCCGCCAACCTCTGGCAAACGCCAATCTGTTTTATGAGTTTAGTTTTTGGTTTTTGCTTTGTTCTTTATATTTCACAAATAAGTGAAGCCATATAGTATTTATCTTTGACTTATTTCACTTAGTATTTTGAAGTTTTGTGGAGTTTTGTTTTCTTTTTAAGGTTTCAAATGTACTTTATTTCTTCAATCACGCCATATTTTAATGGATACACAGTGCTTTTACTTCTTTGGCATCAATTAAGAGTTTGTTTTGAGGCAATTCAGTATTATACCAGCTAGATGATTACTGATTTAGCTGGTACAATACTTCGAGTAGGGGACAGGGTCCAAAGTATTCTAATCTGTGCTGCTGCATATACCCACATAGCAACACAAAGTGACCCCACTAGTATTACCATATTTGCATTGGAAATCAGGTATACATTTCTGGTGTCTTTGTCTTAGCTGCTGCATCAAACTCAGGGAAACATCATGAAAATGAAGACAGAACTATGGCAATTGCAGCTGAGGGTTTGGTGTAACTTTGTATCAGTATCCTTGCAAAGAGACTTGAATGAAGTTTTTATTAGAGACTTTTCCACTAAGTTATCTGGGAGCTATAAGTGGATCCTGACACCTTCCTTCTCTCTACCATTCCCTATTCTCTATCCCATGAGTCACCAGGATTCCCCAGAGAGAAGATGACCAATAACAGCCACCCCCTACAGTTCCATTTAGATACTTTGTTCTCAGTATAAGTTCAGGATTTCTAAGAATCCTTACTGGTATCTTATAAAATTCCAATTTAGGTGGAAACAGAATTTGTGCCAGTCATTAGTCCAAGCACTTTTACACATGATCACTTTTAATCCTAAATACAAGGCTGTGGGATTTACAGAGATGAACAGATGTGGTCCCTTCCTTCAAGGACCTTATCTTTCAGAATAAGAACCACGATATATACCTACAGTAGTAATTAAAATAAAGAAGACCCTTGAGGAACTTACAGTATAGGACTGTATCAGATGGCATTTCAGATGTTTGTTTTCTTGTTTATGATTTTCTATAGTTTGTACATTTTCTAAAATGACAAAAGAATTACTTTGTAATCATCAGAAAATCAACAATTACTAAAAATTTTAAACCTCATAACCACCCTCTGAAGGTATTATTAATCTCTTATTTTACAAGTGAGAAAATTGTTACACATAGTGTAATGACTTGCCCAAAGGCACACAGTAATACAGAACGAGAAATGCATTGAAATCTGTTGCACATGACCCCATGTGAACCACATTTCTTCATTTCCAGGCCCCTGTGTAGTCCCCTCCACACTAACTTTGGGCTTCATCACGTGACTTACTTCAGTCAAAAAGACATTAGCACAAGTGACATAAGCAAGGCCTGGTAAGTGTTTATGCATTAAGGCTTGTCAATGCGGTCACATGAGTGATCCCAGAATGGCAAGAAATAAAATGGTTGTTTCAAGTCACTAAAATTTAGGATAGTTTGCTATATAGCAATAGGTATCTGATACAGAAACTGTACATCTAGGAGTGGGTGTTTTGGCAACAAAAGCCTAAACTACGTGTCAACAGCTTTGAGTCTGAATGTTTGGGGCTAAAGGTAAAGGCTGAATAAATGGCAAACTCTCAGTAGAATTTGGAAAGGTAGTGAGGAAACTGTTATTGGAGGATTGAGCAAGGACATATGGTATTATAAGGACATATGGTTGTAAAACTTTTGCCTGTGGTAACTTGAAAGATAGAAAATATATCTAAATAAAAGCTTAAAAAGTAGGTAGTGAAAGTAGAGAGATCAGAAGACGCTAAAGCAAAGGCCCAAGGGACATGTAACAAAAGGATTTGACCTAGAATAACAGCCTTAGAAAAGGAGACAAATATATACAAAACAATCAAATAATAAAAGGCTCTTCTCTAAAAACAATGTACTACTAGTTTCACAACTATAAATTATATAAAGATGCAATAAAGGAACCAAACAATTTGGCATCTACAAAGAAAAAGCATGTTTCTAATTTACTCCTTTTGCTTAAAAAAAGTAAAAGAATATGTAAAAATGTTCCAGTGTACATAGTGTACCTGACTACAAATTGCAGAAGTAGGAAAAGAGGAACCAGTGAGTTAAACAGCTTCTGAAGAGAGTAAATTCGTGGTTTAGATGAAAACCTCACTACATACTACATCCCAAAGAAAATCACTGAGGATGGAGGCCTAAGGGCTATTGAGAAGTTAACAGGAAACACTTTTTTTTAAGGGAGCTAACATTTAAAACTGTCCTTTAAAAGATTAACTAAAAGAAATGAATAAAAATGTACTTTATTGGTATCCTGCAAATGTATTCTAGTTTACAAAAACGTCCACTGCTACACATCACAAAAATTTGCACAATGAGATTATGAGCAAGTATAAACCTCAAGAAGGGTTCCGCACTGGATAAATCTCTCATGTGGTTCAGCTTATGAAAGAAAGCAATAACCAGGCAAGTCAAAGTTGTAGGTGTTTTGAATTACCCTAAGGATGAAAATGAATGATTGGGAGCTTTTAATAAAGACATCCATAATCATAAAACTCCATTCATTAAACAAATGGCAATGTTTAAATGCCTCATGGCCAGAAACAACAAAAACAGTGGTAATAATGAAAGTGAAAGCCATAATTTGTACAGTACCCACGATTCACAAAGAACTTTTACCTGTTTTATCTACTTGTGATTCTAATTACAGCCATGTGTGGGGAGTTTAAATACCTGGTTGGAACACTCAGTTTATGAAAGACAAAGATAGAACTCAGAGCCTCATTGTCATAGTGTCCAATGATGGTTTAAAATGTTTATTTACCTGATGAACAGTAAATGGGGGAGGGGGCAAAGTTACAATGCTACCAAGATTGATATATGCTCACCACAGACTTGTCCAATTTTCACTTTGAGTTCTAGGCACTACAGAAGAAAACTTTTCTAGGAGAAAGTATGACTAGACTTGACTCTCTGTTATAGTAGCTGGAGAAAGTAATCAAGTTGTTTCAAAAATCATTTGGTTATACCAAATCAAGTGATTTAGCTCAATCAAAGGGAGATAACAATTCTCCCTCTGCTTATAACAGACAATTCCCCAGGTCGTTCGTCTTCTCGTCTCTGAAAGGAGGGGAACTGGACAAAGTCTCTTCTAGCTCTAAGATTCAGGGATTTCTGTCCTAAATTTAATATTCAGTCCTAAAATTCTAAGATTTGGGGATTAAAAAAATTACTTAGACTGGTAGTTAATAGTTATGCGTGTGCCTTGTTGCTCAGTCATGTCCAACTTTTTGGGACCCCGTGGACTGTAAACCGTCAGGCTCCTCTGCCCATGGAGATTTCCAGGCAAGAATAATGATGGAGTGGCGTGCCACTTCCTACTCAAGGGGATCTTCCCAACCCAGGGATCAAACCCACATCTCTTGCATCTACTACATTTGTAGGCAGATTCTTTAGCACTAGTGCCACCTGGAAGCCCAGTTAATAGTGAAAAAAGACAAAATTATTGTGATGATTGGTACCTACTTTCTAAAGAAACAGAAATGAACTGATTGGTCATCTTGAAATCTGTCCTTCAATTCCTCTCTAGTACTGTGCTCACAACTTCTAAGATTTTATCATTAGAAAAACAACTTCGGGCCACATTATACAACTTTGAATTTAGTGTTACAGCAGTGACAGTATGAAAGAATCTGGGAATTTTTCCTTTTCATTATCTTATTCCTAGTTGAGCCACCGAAAGTAATCTAGTAAACTTTCAGTGTACTGGATTTTAAAAAGTATCTTGTATAAAAGTATTCATACAATTTTATGTACATATATTTTAGTACTCAGGTATTTTTTCACGATAAATCTTGATTGAATAAGAGTCATAAGTGATTACTGTTTATGTTAAGTAATCAGAGTAAGGAAGTAATTACTACATTGAATGTAACCCTGAGGATTAACCAATATTTTTACAAGAACTTTCACCAAATTACTTTCTTTCAATTATATGTTAAACAAGTTAATCTGCTTTGATTCATATTCTTCCAACATTTCTCCAAATTGTTTAGCATCCTAAGCTTTAGATATAAGATGACAGACATTGCTAGTTACCTATTCCCTCTCTCTCTCACTACTAACATACCTGTGGTTGTATTTGGAGAGACAAAGTACTCATTTAAAAAACTCACCTCCCCAAAATCCCTTGGGGCTAGAGGCGATCCTGTAGCACAGTTTGGCCAATGAATTTAAGTGGAAGTCCACTAGGTGAGTCTCTGAGAAATCTAC